TGCATCGCATGGGCATGAGAAATGCCATGATGGGACTTGACGGACCTGACCCCGGTCAGATGTTGCACCAGGGACACCACGCAAGCTAAACTCTGTGTCTGAAGTCAGCACTTCGGCGTGTTGGTTGCCTAGGCCACCCGCTGCTGAGTGCTGTTCAACTCACGAGGCTGCTGAGAATATGGTATTAAGCATGTAGTGCAGCACATGTGAACGTCGCCTCTTTAGGGGGAGACGTGATGCGAAGAGGGTTGCTGAATTTGGGAAGCGACCTTGCCCCCATAGACAATGCACTGTATCATGGTTCTGATAGGTTGCAGCTGATCAAAAGCTGAGATGTCAACGGATGCACGCAGCCAGTGTTGTTTTGTGAAGGGCTCCGTGGGTGTCGAGTTCACCGAAAGGGCGGGAAGTCGACATTGCGTGGTCGAAAGACGAATTCAGGTTCATTGAAGCTAGAAACCAAGCCATGTATCATTGAGTTCATCTGCTTGCCAAGTAAGATCTCCATGAGAAATCGCCGGAGCTGCATCGTATCGATGAGCTTCGCTGAATCCCTTTGACCACTCCAGAAGTCCGAGTTCTCTTTCTTTCTTTCTTTCTCTCTTCTTCTTCTTCTTCTTTCTTTCTTTCGTTGGGGCATGGGGGTGGCCCCCCGCGCTGATGCGCGCCCCCGTCCGTCTGCGACTCAGTACTCGCTAAGCTCTCTCTCTCTCTCTCTCTCTCTCTCTCTCTCTCTCTCTCCTTCTTGATTGGGAACTAACTCTCCCCATGCCGCGGAAACAGCTTTACTGGCTGAATTCTCTTGGATGCTAAATTTACAGGTTCTCCAATCTGCAAATCTGAGTCCAGGAGCAAACAGGAACCCAAGGACGTGGGGCTTCACGGGAGCTTTGCGTTGCCAAGGCCTTAATCTTGGGCTGTCCTCCAGTGACGTCGCCTCTGGAGCCACAGGCGATTCCTGCGAGCATGTCTGGCTTTCATGAGCTTCTTCAGTTTCATTGGGCTGCGTGGGAAACCTGAACATTCAGAGTCCCGGCATTCAGGTTTGCAGGGGCTGTGCATGCCTTGCACTTTGGGATCCCACTTCTGGCCCATTCCTGCAAACGTCAAACTCCCCTCAAAGTCAACAAGACCTCGACCTCGCCCCTGTGTCCTGCGGATGCTTGTCGAAGTCCTGCAGGTGGCTTGAGGCTGCGAGAATGCCATTCCGTCATGGACTCGGGGTACCGAGTAGCCTCTGAGAGCTGCAAAAGGTTGAAGACTAGTTGAAGAGGGATGTTGTGCCTCTTTGGGGCGTCGATCTTTCTCGAGGCATTTCTCCACGTAGCGGATGAAACCTGCCACGGTTGTCGGTGTCAGAAGCAGGGCCAAGACAAGGCCAAATCGACAGCAGTTCTTACCTTAAATTGTCAGGCATTGTCAGGTCACTCAGCTGAAGTTGATGTAAGCCCTCAGCCTAAGTTGATGGGATCCGTCCCTGGAACAAGACCGAAGCCGAACGCACCCCGCTCAGCGCACACTTGAGACTTCCCACGAGTTTTGTGAAGGCACTTCTTTGTTGGAGAGAGTCTGGTGAACGAAGCGCGCGCCTTTGTTGGGCCCGGAGTGCCAGACGGGCTTTGCGTGGAGCACTGCCTTGAAGAGCTGGGAGCGGATGCCTCTGGAAACAGACCCCAGAGCATTCTGGCATTCTGTGCACAGTCCAAAGATACGTAACACTCAAGCACACTCCCTCACAGAGCCTCTTCTTGGGGTCCCGGCGCAGTCTGAGCTCAGCCAGGGCCTGCGATTCGTCCTGCCCGGTCCTGGGGCCCTTGCGTGTGGCGGCCTGTCGGCGCCCCCAGACCCGGCTTTGTTTGGAGTGCTGCTTGAGTTTATGCTTGAGCTTATCCAAGTGTTCCGTGTTTTTCAGCACAGGGAGGGCCCAGGCCAGGTGAAAGGGGGGACCAGGGAGGAGTGAAGTTGAAAGGCTTTGGGATGTCTAGAGCCTAGATTGGTGTTGGAACTTCTCCTCCGAAGTGGCACGACTATCAGGGATCAGTCTTAATGTAGCTTCTGTTCAAGATGGTTTCTGCTGAAGCCTTCCATTTGTCAACCTGACCAGAGCAGAAGGGGTCAGCCACCCCCCGCACAAATGAAAGGAGGCTGGACTTAACAAGTTTCAAAGGTCTGAGATGGCCTCCAGGGTGCTCAGCTGGATGTGGTCCGTCATCCCCTCCACCCGGGCCAGCCTCATGTTGTTTTGTGCCCTGCTTGGGCAGCTCCCCCCCCAAAAAAAAAACAGAACTCTGCAGAAGTGTCTCCCGAGTGCAGGGCAGTGCGCTGCGCGCGGTGCTGAAGAGCTCAGGAGCCTCGCTCTTTTTGCTTAGAGGGGCTGGCAGCTGGGAACTTGGTAGGGTCTGGGGGACGTGTCTCCGACCAGGTGAAGCGAAGCATGCATAACAGAAGCCCTGAAAAAAAGGTGTTGAAACGACTTCTCAGGCTTCAAGCCGCTTCTCAGCTTCAATCGCAACTTTTTTGGAACTCGGTGCCGCTGACAGTTTGAGGCTGCGACATGCGGGGGAGCTTGGCAAGCCTTCAGGGTGCTCTCAAAGAGGCTGCAAGTTCGAGGCCTCTGGAAAATACAAAAAGCTAGATACCGATGTCTCACAAGCCGTAGCCTGGACACTTACAACCGTCGAGCCAGCTCGCACATTGGAATGCACGAAGCGTCTGAAAGCCTGAACATTAAGCTCCAACAGCGGCAAAGGGTATAATACCTTGCACCTTGCGACATGCCATAGTACGCACGCACGAACGCTTATGTGCACCCACGCATACACACACCCACAGCCTTGCCCGGGCCCTGATGGTTTGCATCTGTGCTTCACAAAGTACTCTTGTTGTTGGAAGCTCTATGCAAGGAAGGGCCACATCAATAACCATGTACACAAAAAACACAGCTGGCCACAAGAACTCTCTATTGCGAAGGGAGAGGAGCTCATCTACATCCGAGGTGTTGGCGCAACGAACGGCAACGGACTCGGACAACAAAACCACATTCTTGGGCAGCTTCAGTCCACGGGAGAATGCAATGGAAGGAATCAGGGCTGAACCTGTCAGTTCCTCACATCGCACCGCCAGCTTGATTACGGACTTCGGCCCGAGGCTCAGTTGTCAAGGTTGAGGGGGTATGGGGCTCCAACATTGTCCATGGCGCATGTTGCAAAAAATAAGCAATCATTACAAGTGACCCCATACAGGAATTGTAGACTTGGGGTTCCTGCAGAACTTCCCCGTAGACACACAAAACCCATGACCCCAAATGGTTTCCTTTCGGCGTCCATGCCGGCCTGAAGGAGGACGGCAAGAGCGAGCGGATCCTGGCTTCGGGCGGAATCTAAGGCTCTATATTGACCTGTTCACTCCGGCCTCGATACTTGCCGCGTGCTTGACTGCCTCTGCCGTTACCTTAGCTGGCGGAAGGAAGCTTTCTGCGACAACCCTTAGCCTAGAAGAAACGGCTCTTTGCTTTGAAGCCAAGGTGAGAAGCGCATCGGGGATGCATGTTCCGCGTCTTTGCTGGAGGATTGTTCTTCTAGGAAGTCAGCGAGAGGAACGATTGCATGATTGAATGGTGTGCGTTAATGCATGGATGCCAACACAAAGGCAAAGTCGGGGCATCGACATCAGCAACATCGCCGGGTGATCGGAAAAGAATGTTGACCTGCGTGCAGGGAGCTACACCACCACGTGCACCACGTGACATGGGAAGAAAAGCAGCGCTGGGCGTGAATGCAGAAACGATCGCCTTCTCTGTTTCGCTCTTGGGATTACGTAAGCTATTGGCGCATAGCTCCTGAGTGTCGTTTGCTGCAATGTGAGAAAAGTGTCTTTCGGGTACCAGAGCTCAAGCCGCCCAGAACTTCCCCAAACCGTGAGGCTCAGGAAAGATTCCTCAGAATCATCTTAAAGGACACAGGGATTTCCTCGATGCATGTTTGGGGGCTTTTAGGAAGCACCCGGAGAGGCCCGAAGACGCGCGACCTCCTCGGCAGAGAGTTTGTGCCAATGCCTCGGGCTGGTGGAAATGTGGAGAAAGCCTGAGACTCTCGCAAAGCTACGGGCCTAGGTGACCCCGGAGCTCCACAGCGGGGCCCTTGAGAGGGGCCTCAAAGAAATCAGGAACCTCCTGCACTCTTGAGACCTCCAGGAGGGTTTAAGGACCCTTTCAATCAATGCATGTTCAAGTGGATTGAGTTCTCGGTTTTTGCTGTTCTGAAATCTGCGAGTACCGAACGGGCCGAGGCAGCGGCCCCTTGAGACCATCCAGGGCTGCTGTGGCCAAGGCACTGAAGGTGCTGGCGGAGGCTTCCTGTGTGATGCATACGTGGCAATTACGGCTACCGCCATTCCAATTAATTGACACTGTGATGACGATTACAATTAGTAATTTATGCTGCTGGTCGTTGCTGATCTGCAAGATCAAAGATCGACGTGGTGGTCCGACCACAAAGTGTCGTTGACGGACATTTTGCAAACGTGTCGAGACTCAGGCTTGCTACCCGAGAGACACTCCATGGAAAATGCGCAGTGCGGTGCACCTCCTCCTCAGCAACCAGGAGGGCATGCTTGACCTGAGGTGCCCACTTGAGCTTTGAATGCAGGAGTTGGCCCCGGAGTTGGCACTTCATGGCCGGTGCTCGTAACTATCTCGAATCCGTCTCCCCCCCCCCCAGGTTTTGAAGGCTCGTTCCTTTAAAAGAATCTTGTATGGATTTCGGCGAGGCTCATTGAAAGCAACATAGCACAACCCAAAGCCGGAACCCTGCAACGCAGGCCGAAGGGGTCATGATTGACAGAGACTGGGCCGGCACGGGCAATGTCCAAAAAGTCTTCTCCAAGGTCGGTGCTGTACTGGCTGCGAGGTAGGCGGTGGCCAGGGCAAAGGCTGGCACATCTTTGGCCTTGCGGCTTCGTTGCTTCCGCTCCCAAATCGCTGCCCACTCCTCCCCCCCTCTGCAAGTGCGGCGTAAAGCTGTGGTGCCTCCAGGAGCTGCTGCAGCCAGGCCTACACAGCTGGCATCGCAGGATTTACGAAGCTTCATGACATGCTGTTTTGGGAAGTCAACTTCAACCACGAACCTCGAACCGAACCTGCTATTGATGGCAAGGTGGGTGGCACACAGTTGAAACATGGGACCCGATGGTGTCAGTTGCTTCAGGGAGGGCGTGGCCAAGAAGCTTCTGCTTTTCGGACTCTGAAATCCGCCATTGAACTACTCCCAAACGATGCTGCGCATGCCCTTTGCCTGGCAAAACAAAACCTTGCAAAGCTTAAGTCAAAACATCCGGGGGTGTCTGAGTTTCCTTCGAATAACTATGAAGAACCTAACTGAACCCCAAAGCCCACAATGCCGCACTCATCTGCCACTCCATCCCGGCCTCCACCACGGGCGCCAGATTCTTGCAGCCCTCCAGGTCTCCCAGTGAGGCGGCGTGCAGCGGCAGGCCATACCTCACATCTGGGCTACTTTTCTTTTGGGCGGCTTGTTTGGACATGAGCTGTGCAGAAGGCAGGTCCGGACAAGACTCCAAGGTCGGGGATGTGAGTTCGAATGCTGTAGAGAACCCTGGGCCGGCGAAACTTTCAGCTAGAGCTCATATTGGAAAGCATGCCAAGGCCCGAAACACCTCTGTACTGGGACCCTGTCCCCCCCATGAAAGCCACTCTCGCAAGTGTAACGAAAGCCCAACACCTTCAAAAGCGCCCCCGAAAGAGCCCAACATCTTCCAAGGCAAAACAATCAGGTGCCGGGCAGAATCTGCAAGCGTACTTCGATTTGTGCAGGGCCTTGGATGATTCACGAAGCTGCTTGAACCCGCTGCTCAAAAAACGACCCTAAACCCCAAACCCCAGGCGTTTGAGGTCCAAATAAACTGCAAAGCAGATCGGTACCCAAACTGGGTCTGTTTTCTTGGAGTATCTTGGAGACCTCCATTACTTGAGGGCACCTTGCACCCAAAACCCCTTGTCTCTAAAGCAAGCTCGGCAACGACTGAGTAACAAGAATCTTAAAGCCACGGGTATATACATAAACATATATATATGTATATATATATATATATGCAGTTACTATGATTATGTAGAACTCTGCATAATCATCCCATCTTTTCAGCGCGTGGCGGAGCTGTGCGCCTGTGCTGCGGAGGAGGTCCGTATCCGCCAGCATACCTCGAGAGTTGCCGGGGGACAGCTTGGTATTTACGGCTTCCAGGTTGAGGAGTTCATTGTTGGGCGGTTTGGGAAGTTTGAGTCTGTTCTTCGTTTGTGGGCCCATGAACCTAAAGCAGCCAGCACGTGCAGTGTATTCGTGGCTTCTAAGCATGGCACACAGGTTCTGCCAAGTGAAGGATCAGCAAGCAACAAAAGGAATCAACAACATCAGCCCGTGGGGATCTCATTTGCCGCCCGGGCGGCTTGATTACTTGGCTTATGTTTTGCTCACTTTCCCTTGTGCTTGGCATCGTTGGATTCCCCGGTTAAAGACCAAACAGGCCTTGTTCGCTGCCCTCGGAACTCAAGGCCGGTGAACAGGCCCCACTCAGCCGCTTGATCCTCGTGGACCCGCCCTCTACATCTAATCCTCCAAGGGAGTATGGGAGCCCCCTCCACGCACAAACAGAATACAGAGGGCCCGGCGCCGCAAAGAGGCGTCCAGTGGCCGACAGGCTCGGAAAACCTTGGCACATGTAACATTAGGAACAAGAAATGCTGCAAAACTTAAGCCCCTCATGTGCCGCCCTAAGCCCATTAAACCCTCCATAAGCGCACAGAAGCCTGTCATAAACCCCTTAACAGAGCATAAGCCCTATAAGACCCCTCACGCCGGAACAAAGGGTACTCTAGAGATAGTCTTGGGGCGCTTCGTTGGGTGCAGCCTCGAGCCCAGGAAGAGTTCCCTGCCTGAAAGTCCTCCCTGTACAGTCTTGCAAGGAATACGACTACTCTTTTTCTTCCGGTTTGTCGAAGGCTGAAGGCTCCGAACTCCGGTAGCCAGCTTGGTCTGCGGCTGGCTCCCTGTCTCGCGCCTGCATGATTGCCGCCCAAACTCAAGGACTTTCTTTGCTTAGCGAGACTTCCGAGACTGGGCTTGCAAATTCCCGCGCACCAGCCAGGGATTGCGCAAGAAGTCTCGGGTTCTCTGCTACCGGTCCCCTTGCAACGACACTTAGTACTCTGCATCCATCAAAGCCCTCAACGCAAGAATCTGATGTGAGAAGCCTTTTGCCAGCTGCTGGCCTCTTGAAAGCTCAGCCTGGAAAGCCCCAAGCCATAAGGCCCCTTCATATGTCTCTTCAAACTTTTTATGTGACATGGCCGAAGCAACGAGGCAGCTATATGATACGATGGGTAGCTTCTCACGGTAAGAAAGAACCCCCTTAACGAGGGTGCCTTGACAGAAACCCAAGGATCCCAAAACCCAAGGCGCCTCACGCTTGGACAATGCCGCCAGCAAAGCCTGGGGCCGATATGGGGTCAGGGTTGTGGGTTCCTAAGGAGCTCCGGGAACTTTTGTAGTATCTAGGGAACATCCGAAACCACAGAAGCGAAACAGGCAAGAGTGCGTAAATCTCGCGAGTTCCCCAATTTCCTTTGCTGAGACTGTTGAAGAGGACACAAAAAGGAGCAGACCTGAAGCTTGTTGAGGCTTCTACGTCGGCCCTGCCCTCAACACATGAACATTTTGGCGATCCCCTTACAAACTCATGGCCAAGTATAATGAAAAAAGAAGGGAGTGCGCTAGTCCACAATCCCCGCAAGGCCTGGAAGAGTTCCGAAGCTTCCGCTGACAGCGCCTGGCTCTTTTTGGGGTGGTTGAGCTTAGGATCCATAAGGACTGTTGACCACTTCCAGGGTACAGTGGCTCGCCATATGCACTACTGCTGTCTGCCCATCTTCTCCGGATCCAAGACTTCAAGAAGGCAAACGTTTTGCTGTCTCGGAATCCTCTCACGCACCTCACCCAAGCTGTCTGCAACAGCCCAGCACCGAAGTAGAGCAAAGCGCCATAACATGCCCAAAGCCAGCCCCTGCAAGCCCGTTCCCACACACGGGGCGTGCGGGTGGGAGGCGGCCAGCAGCACGGGCTGCCAGAGAAAGTTGCCCAGGGGAGAGGCCCTGGCTTGGGGTGTTGTGGGTTTGTTGCATGTCAGGGCCTCGAACACAGCTAAGGTTTCGTCAAGGCCGACTGGGAACTCGGAACCAAGATCGCTCCGAAGACCCCCAGAAACCCATCCCCCGACCAAGGCTTGCGTGGGGATTGAGAAAAAGCATCCTCTTTCTCACAACTCAGGAAGGAAAAAGAGGGAGAGATGGAGAGAGCTACATACATAAACACATGATCAAATTTCTAAAAAACTATCTATTCATATGTTCGTAGATCTTGGAGTTGGTGCACTAGTTGAAGGCTCGAGGGCCTCATAAGACTCTAAACATCCCCAAGCCCTTTCTAAGCCCTCTGAAGGGGGACTCTCACAAGAGAGCCTCTCAACACCCTTTTTTTTCCGCATCCGCGCACAGTTCCGGCTTCGAGTCGACATGAAAGGGACGAGCCATGAACAAAGTGAACAAAGTGAACAACCAAACTCTCTTTGTGGAAGACTGACCAGGAGTAGAGAAAGGTACCGGGCTTTAGGGGTCAAATCCCAGTCCTGAGAAGGCCCGGGAGGATCGAATATCTGTATCTCCAAAAGCTGTGATGCTAACTGTTGACAAATGAGCCTTCCAGGGATGTCTGTCATAGCTTCGGCGAATGCGCCTTCTATCAACAACCTTTGAGCACATAGTCCCAACACTCCGTAAGCGACACTGCAAGGCCCAGCAAAGGGCTGCAGTCTGAAGAGCTACTGCAAATTTGGGCAATTTCAAGCCCAGCAAAGGAGCCAGTAGCTTTCACACCTCCAAGGATAAAAGCAGCAAGACCACGCGCCTCAATTATGCCAGAGCCGCCCTAACCCTCGTAGTCTGGAGTCTGAAAGCGGCTGGAGCTCGTGCATCAAACTTTGTTCAAAGCCGCTACACCTTCTTTGACCTCTTTGATTCTGATTGGCTTTGCACCGGAGGGCCTGTGAGAATCCCGAGCCCTCTTAAAAACGACTTGAAGCCCACAGTTTCAGAGCATTGAAGGACCCTTTGGCTTCGAACTATAGGCACCACATTGGATGCGAGCTGCGCCACGTACTTGTGGGAAACGGCTCTCTTCTCTAGAGGTGAAAACATGTGGGAGATGGCCACAAGCCATGGCAGGCCTTAGCACGACCTAGACTCCTCGAGCCGGAAGCATTCCAAGCCACCTGCTCTTAAAAACCCCAAGCCCATCCTGGTACACGAGCTATCAAAGCAGCTATGCCTCAAGCTGTGGCTGTGGCCCTGAAAGACGTCTCCTCAAAAGCCCCTAGAAGAATCTCGTCAGCTGCATCTTGTCTGGCCATGAGTTGAATCATCAGGCTAGCTGCGCTGCTGTTGACAGGCTTGTGGCCGGTTGCAAAACCCAAAGTCTGCTAAAAAACGCTTTCTCAGTCGTGGCCGTATGGGAAGCAGGCGTCCAGGCCTGGGCATTGTAATCTTCTGGGTGCATCACTGAGCACAGGGGCCGGTGTCCCGCTTAGCTTTGTGGCCTGCGCAAGTGTAGGAAAAAACTGCAGGTTGTTGGGGATTTGTTCTTTTTCTTTGGGGGGGGGGTCGGCTCTGCGGCCTCTTGCTCTAAAGCCTCTGCAGTGGAGGCCCCACCCAGGCAGCGCCGAACATCTGTAAGTCTCTGTAAGTGCAGCATCCGCGAAGCAGTTGCATGATGCACGTGAATTGGTCAACAGCAGACCCCGAGGCAGAAACGCAATGAATGATGCTGTTCAGCCGGGAGGCCCACCAGGGAAGCCGCGCGGTTTGGGTAGAAACTCTAAAGCAAACCCTTCAAAAGCCCTTTCTTCTCGCTGCGAGGTGCCTGTTGAGCCCATCCAGAACGGCGTCTGACCTTGGATGGATGCTTTGAGAAAGCTCGTTTTTGGAGAGAAGAACAGAAGAGAGCCAAGGCCGGATGACCGAAGCTCCGCACAAAAGAGTTGAGCCCGAGGCAGAGGGACACGCGCTTCTGTGCGTTGACCTCCTGGCAGGCGACCTCGCGTGGCTAGGTTTGAGGTGCAGGGTCTCACCGGCATTCTCAGAGATTCCAGAGAGGGCCTGGGTCGCAACATCACAAATATCCGCATGCAGATTCAAAAACAGGGCCTTGGACTGGGCTGAGAGCCTACGCATCATGCGCCATATGCCTCTGCTCATTTTTCGGGCTTGCTGATGCAATGGGACTTCTTTGATAGCTAATCCCCATGCCTGTCCCCAACAAACACCCCAAGTAAAAGCCTGGAAAGAGATAGTTGCCATACGTCTACCCCATAAGTCTTGTAACTACGCATTTAGCCAAATACCCTGATATGCGCCCGTCCTTCAGATCGGTGATATTTTCCGGGAGCACCGTCTGCCTCAGTAGGCTTCCAATGCCCTGGATACTGCCCCGGATAAAAAGGCGGGGGAAGCTTTACATACCCCCAAAATACCACGAGCCTGCAGTTTGTAGGTTTTGATACTGAGCAGTGTTGAGAGGAATGCCCGGTCGCTGAAGGACGCAGCAGAAACCACACCACGCAAACGATCCAAGTGCTCATCGTTTGGGCTGTGGAAAATTTGCCATGGCTGAGTCCAGCGTGACAAAACTCCGGTCAGCTCAGAGGTACACCAGAATGGCTCTGAATCTCAAGTTTCGGATCCAAGAAGCCCCAACCACTTGTAGAAGATGACAAGCAGAACGGAGAAGCACCTCAGCTGACTTTCTTTTGGTAATTTCCAGCCCGAGCTCTCGAGCAAGCCCACAACTCGTGCCGGCTATATACTGGGTGATAGTAAAGGCAGGTCCACAACCATGAGATCCTTCCAGCATCTGGATAGAAGAGATGCAGTTCTGAGACCACGAAACGCAACAAGCCTCAAGCACAGACCGATGATGCACCACCCTCTCAGGGACTGGCAAGTAGGTGAAAGATCGCTTGAACGCAGCGAAATCCTTTGACCTGCCGCAGCGTGTCCGAGGCCAGAAATGCTCTTCAGATGTCGGGCTTCAAGATGTAATTGAAGCGTGGACAGGTAGAGACTGAGAGGGGGAGATAGCAAGACAGACCAGTGCCCGCAAAAAGCTTCTCTTTCAACATGGAAACTTGAACCCACTCAGGGAACCCCACACCCCTGCAAGAGAGGCCGAACCTCCTTGACCGGCAAAGCCTTTCCAACCGTCCCAAGGTCTGCGGTTGGAACCTCATCCCTCGGAGCCCCCCGCTCCCAAAAAACCTCAATCTGGCCTGCCCGCCGTGCGAGGGCGGTAGGTCACGAAGTTGATATCTGCCACCTGTTTCCTTTAAGGCAAGGTTTTGGCTCTTTTTAACGACAAGCTACGGCTCTTTGGGGGGTTTGGGCGCCAAAGCTCAATGGGCACTTCAAATTTCTGGGTTTGAGAGCTCCACCCCTTAAAGGGGTCAGCGCAAAGAGCAAGGTCCTGTGAGCTACGGGGAGCAGCGTCTCATAGAGAGCTTCGTCGACGCCCGTCACCTGATGAGTCTTTAAGGCCCCCCACCCCCCCCGGATGGGAGAGTTGTTGTGTATCTCTGGTAAACCCTCAAGCCCCCCAAAGGAGCAGGAACCCAAGAGCTGTTTGGGGGGTGCCGCCCCAACGCACGGAATCTCCAGCTGCGAAAGCTGAGGAGGAAGCAAACTCCATAGCGATGCTGTTCATCACCTTACATACCAGAAAGTCTGCCAACTTAAAACCCGAGCACCCCTCCTAATTATCCTAATTGCTGCTGGTGGTTCTCATGTGGCGGTCCCTGCGTTGAGGGTTTCCGTGCTTTTGCGGTTCAGGCTTTGGGCTCCCGAGGCCTGCTGAGAGCTTCTTCTGAGGCTTTTGGGAGCTGGAGGTACTTGAAGTGCTTTGAAGTGCTTTAGGTCCAGGAACTTGAGAACTTGAGAACTTTTGAGAGCATCTGTTGTGAAAACTGATTGGCGGTAAGGACGGAGGAAAAAGTGGTGCTGCTCAAGTGCCGCTTGAAGGTTGGGCTGATTGTATGGAATGCTTGAGGGGCCGGGTGAAGCAGTGACTTCATAGAGTCATAGAGTTCTGCACTTTGAAGCATGGAGGCACAAGCTCCGCACACGATCACTAGCACCTGGGCCTGGTGCTCAGGGGTAGCTGCAGCAACTACGGAAGGGAACGGAAATTCCTTCAAATAAAATGAGTTAGATGTCAGGGTGGCCGTCAAGCAGCAGCAGTGACGCACAGATTGCACATGCCTCATGCCTCGCCGTGAGCTTCTTAGCATCTAGCCTGGATGCACCAGCTACATGTTTTACCCCTGCGTTGCCTGTAATCTGGGGACCGGCTACTATTGAGACCTGAAGCCTTGAAAGCTCCTGGCAACAGCCCTAAGGCTCGAAGGCGTCCCCGCTGACCCTACGCATAAGCCGCTTGCTATGAGTCAAGTTAAAGCCTTTAACGCTGCCGAGTTGAAGCTTGATCCAGTCTTGCTGCACCGGCTTTGTTTTCATCTTGGCCAGGCTACTAGATCTGCGAAGGAGTTGGTGGCCGTGAGCCATTGGCATCCCAAGTACATCCTTGGCTGCGCATTCGCCCTTTCGCCCTTTCGCCCTTTCGTGCTTTCGTGTGCATGAAGCTTGCTCTGCTGGAAGCTCTCAGGCAAATCGTGTGAAAGATCTCCAAGATCCCGACAGCGTGCAGCAGATGACCAGCTTGGGCAGGATGACCAGCATGTAGATCCTGAGACGTGCCGGGTGTTGCAGGTGCCGCGCACAGCTTCCTTGAAAACCTGCAATTCACCCATCGCTGGGCAAAGACGTGCCGAGGAGCAATGATCGCACACACGGCGTCAAGGCAACCACCTGCCCCGCGCTGAGGCGTTGCATGCTGCAGCCAAGAAATCCCTTCAGAACCATTGCAACACAAAATGCAAAATGTGGTGAGGCATGATCCCCTAACTAACGGTCAGGCAGAGCGCCCTTTCACCTAGACAGCACAGACCCTTCCGAACCTTTGGGGCCTTTTCGGGGAATTTTTCGGGGTTTATGCGCGGAATGCGACTCGGACTCAAAAAAGCCCCCAAACCAGGGGGGGGGCCTGGACCACTGAGTGGCTGGTGTCCTCGCCCGTCATCTGCGAGCTCAGTCTGCAACTCGGCATGCTCCAGACGTCCTGGCGGTCTCTCGGGCAGCATGCCTAAACTCTGGGGTTTGGGTCTTGGGGTTTGGGAGCCAAAGTCGTGGTTCCAGAACGGGTGTGAAGACGAAGCTACAATTTTTTTTTCTTTTTTTTTTGGGGGGGGGGGGGGGGGGGCCTTTTGGGGCAAGTTCAGAGCTCGAGCCTACCCGTAGAGAGCGGTTCCTGAAGACCCCCTAAAGTCCCAAAACCTCCGTGCAGTCCCGAGCCAGTCTCTCAGTGGTCCGCAGCTCTCGCACAATGAGCAGAACCTGATGTAGTTCTCTAAACTGGAGGCCCCAAATGTGGGTTGAGGGCTGTTCGCCTTTAGGTCATAGGACACACCGACCCTGCGCACAAACTCACAAAGAACATGCCCAAAGAAATGCTTGGTGTAAGTGGGCTCCGAATCCACAGTTCTAATGCCAAGAGGGGTTCTGGGGGCTTCGGGTTGATGGCGGAGATTGCTGCAGGGTGTAAGGAACGCACATTGCCCTGTGTGGAAGCCTCTGCCCCTTTGACACTTGCCTTTTGGCTTCTGCCATGGGGCCCAGAGGAAGACCACCGTGAAGTAGAAGAGTGGACTGGACATGCCAATTTGACCTCTGTACACAAGGCATGGCGGAGAGACGTCAGAGGTGTGGCCGCCCCCCCCCCTCCCTTTTGTCCTGCTGCACTCGGGAGAACCCGGCCTTTGGGTTTAGGGTGGTGCAGTCTTCTACTCCCTGTGATCAGCTTTCAAGAAAAGGACTTGTTAAATCCTAACAAAACCCTGGCCTTCCCAAGCGTTCGTTCGAAACGACTCTTCAGCAGGAGATGCTGGTTCTTTTGAGCCGAAGCCCCTGAGGCTTAGGTTGCACCGAACGCTCAAGAAGTCTCAGGTGCGGACACAGATCCTCTTTGCCTGCCCATGAAGAGACACAAGGGATGCTGTGAAGCTTACGGGGGATGGGGGGTGGTTGATGGCCCAGGAAGGGTGCCATGAACGTGTTTTTTCAGGCATCTGTCAAGCGGATGGTGTTTTTACAAAGGTCTGGCCACTGGAGCCCCCATTGTAACCATGAGTCGCCCCGACCCCGAAATTCGCCTTCGTAGCTCTCCCACTCGTCAGCGAGGAATTGGCCGTCGGAGTCGAAGACTCGTGCCTTGGCTTCTGAAGTTGAGGCTTCGCCTAAGCAAACTCCCAACTCCTAAATCCTCAGCAATGCGGCCAAACATGCGAACTTCATGGGCCCTGCAAGGTGAATTGTTCGAGTAAACAAGGAAAAAGAGGTTCGTGTGGACTTTTGAAAGAGGGTCGTGCCCTTGAAGTGGTGAACTCTGGCAGCACATGTGTTTCCAGCAGTTGGGGTCTGCTAACCTCTGAGAACTGACAAACCAACCCCGGCATGTCACGCAGCATGTACCCGTCTTCCCATGTCTTCCCATAGCTCACAAGATGGTACCTCTCCTAAACCGGGGTTAGCCGCTGGGGTGCCCCATATCTCAACATTACAACGTTTGCTGTCTCTCAAGCAAATCTCAAGGGTGATCTTTCAAGATCCCCTTAGATATGGGAAAACCATGAGTAGAAAGCTGCCTTTTCGTCAGGCCGAGTCTCATGAAAGTGGAGGTATTGACTCTGGATCTTGTGGACCGACGGTCCTACCTGGAAGTGGGATCTGTGTCTCGGTGGTGGGAGGAGCTGGGGTTGTTTGGGGTCTCCGAAGCGCAAAAACCCCCATCCTCCCAAAAACCCGCTCCGAGGTTTGAGAATGTCAGTGATCAGACGCAGGCCGCTGAGCTACTATTGATAATCCGACTGAACAGACTCAGACACTGAGAGTGAAGGCAGTGCCAGGGCAACAGTGACGCGGAAGCAGGCTCAAGCGTGACCCGTGGTGCAAAGACTACTTGGCCTACGTAGGTCAACACGCAGCTCTCAGACTTGAAGCCTCAAGTCGACAACCTCTTGCAGACCGACAAAGGCTGAGAAGCCCCAAAAAAGCCCCCACCAAAAGCCCAAAGTCTCCGAGATGCCACGAAAAGGTTGATGAAGTAGAGCAGTCCCAACCTTGGGGCTTTTCTGCGGTTCTCGGGGGATATGTTGTGGTGTTGCGTCCAAGAGGCGAGAGAGCCTCTCTATTCCTTTGGGTGGTGTTATGCCCTTAGAAAGGCGGCTCTAACATGTGAGGCCCCCTGATGGCCACGCGTGGCCATCCAGGGCCGGGCCGAGGTCGCTGCTGCATCAGCAGGTTCATGGACAGGAGGAGGAGTGCGAAGCTGGCCTGCGAGAGCTCTTCAACGAACTTCCAGCATACCTGAACACCCCTGACACCTCGAAATGCACACAATGAGGAGGTGGGAGATTCCGACGCTTGTCTGAAGAAAAAGCTCTAGCCCGTCCTAGCCCCGATGCAAGACGACCTGCACCAACTTCAGCTGGACCTCTTCGCTGCTCCACGGTCCTGCCACAGCGGAAGGCCAAGGTTTCAGGGCAACTGGCAGTTCGGGCTGCCGCTGCGGGTAAGGGTGCTCTTCAGCTCTCTTTGCGCTGAAGGGTTTCGGAAGCATGCTGGGGAGAGGCCTTGTCGGATGATCTGCAAGTCTCGCACGATCGCCAGGATTCCCGCGCCGTAAGCATCCTATGGAACACTTGGGTTCTGAAGGGTTCTCAAGGGTTTAGGGCGGAGGCGAGGAGTTTGTGAAGTTCCGAGGGGCTGGGGTTTGCGATATACAAAGAAGGGCTTTGGAACTTCGGGCGCTTGGGGGTCACGTCGGGTCTTGTTTGCAGAATGATGGCTTTTGGAAGCGACAGCCGAAAGGAAGATGAAACGAGGGGCCAAGTCCCAAGACAAGCTCCAAGTTCTGCTCCGCTACGGCCTTTTGGCACGGGTGCCTATGAGAACCCTGACATGGGCGCAGGGAGCGGTTTACTGTTTCGACGGTTTTGGGGGTGACTCGGTTACCCTTTCCTCTCCTCAACCCGCCTCTGTATCAGCTTCTGAAGCTTCGCAAACCTCAAGACCCAAGGCCAGGAGCCCGAAACCCTTTTCACGGCCGCTTAGCTTTAACCCTGGAGCCCTGAGACCCTGAACCCCACCCTGCTTCCCACCACGCCTCTGGTATATCAAACTGTACCTCGTGCCAGCTCGAGAGCTCAGAAACTTCCAAAATCCACTAGGGTATGCTCCTTAAGATTGTGTTAAGTATCCTACTATGACTCAGAGGTGATTTGTTTCTCCATTGGTGTTTGACGAAGCATCTCGGTATTCGGGGCGCAGGGCAACTGGACAAAAAACTTGACAGCTGGCGCTCGGCCTGTCGCTAATCGGTACGAAATGCCGCTACAAAACTCTGCACAACATGAGAGATTGCTGCCGCTGAGCTGATCGAAGTTCTGCCCGAGTGTACCCCTTTGTGCCACAGATTCTGGAGACAAGGTTAAAACCTGAAGCCCCCCCTCCCCCCCTTTTAAGGGCAACCATTCGCAGCCAAACTCCGCACCCTCAAGCGGCCCGACACGGAAACCCCCCCAAATTAGTGTTCAGGGCTTTGGGGGTTTAGGCTTTAAGGATCCGACAGTCGGAAGCCTAGAGGACAGGAGCTTTGGAAGTTTCGGATGGGGCGCTTCTCCCCTTCCCCCCCCCTCCCCCCTTGGCCTCCTCTAGCTCAGAGTTGCCCGTGAGCGGCTTCTCGGCTTCGGACACTGCCCTTGGAGCACTGGCACTCGGATGCTTCAGGAGCCTTCCGGGGGTCCTTTGGCGTGTGGAGACTGAGGGCCGGGCAGGTATTAGGGGGGGTATACGTGGGCTTCTTCTTGAGGCGATTCGAACCCCCCTGCTCTTTTTGTTTTGCTTGCCCATGAAGCGCTTCCAGTCGAGAACTAAGGGGGGTTTAGAAGACTTCAGGGGTGAGGTTCGTGGCTCCAACCGCCCGTGGTGAAGGCTTGGCCCAGTCCTTGTTTTTATGGGGCAGGACCCCGCGGGCGCCTTACGTGTTTGGAAATACTCTGTACCCCTAAACCCTAAACCCTAAACCCTAAACCCCAAACCCTAAACCCCACCCGATGTTGCGGCTCGGAGGGCCCATCCGTCCATTCCGTCGGGACGCACATCGACCTCCAGTCTGGTTTAAAGGGCATTCGGGGTTTGGCTAAGAGGGTTTCGGGTGTGAGGACTTATTTGTATTCTTTTTAAAGTTTGGGGGGTTTGGGGGTTTAGGACTTAGGGGTTTGGGGTTCGGGATTGGGGGTTTAGCGCGGGGTTTAGGGCTGAAGCCAGGCAAGCAAGGCTTCCCCCCATCTAGCCATACCTTTAGGGTACCATGCTCTCAGGGTTTAGCGATCTCTCGCTCCCCGGCACTTTACATGCAGGCCAAAGGGCACGTCCGACAATAGGAAGTTCCCTTGCCTTACTTCTCCAATACCCATGGGACACAGATGATTAAACTTTTTTTTCTCCTCTAAATGCGGTTTTAAACCTTCAACTCTTTGCAAAATAACCTACCACTGTTAGGCATCCCCAAATGACCTTAGGAAAGGCAACCCAAACCCCAGCGCCTTGGATCAGCCGTCGCCCCGTGAGTGGACTCAGTCATCTCTGCCTGGTCCTGGCTGCACAGGGCTGAAGGGGGGCCATCCGAAACCCTAAGCATCCGAATAACTTCAATGACCCTAGTTACCCTAATAACCCTAAACCCTGACTTCGGGTGGTCGGTGGCCGCAGTGGAGTGGGATTCGAGGTTGAAGGTTCAAGAAAAGCCGGGTCATAAGTACCGGAAACAGGGATAGAACGATTCATGACTAGCATAAACAAAATACTACCCATGATCCTCCAAGTAGGGATTAGGGGATTATTTGGGCTGCTTAGCACCTTCAGGACTTCAACGACTGGGACTGCCCTGCCTTGTTGACCGGAGGCGGATGGCCTTGGAAAAATGAAACTACCACGCGCTTGGCCTGCGAGGGGAAAAAGCGCCTGCCAAGAGATGCTTACGCCCCTTGTGCCAGGGACTCAATAGCTCAGGTGACTTGTGACGAGGGCTTGGCAGTTGTGTTTTTGCGAAGCTGCTCCTAGGTACGAGTGGCCCGATGAAGTGATCTGGTTGCTCAAGATGCATGCTTTGGCCTGCGCTGCGACTACAGCTGGAGTTCGGCGCGGCAGGTGAACAAGGCATCGAGGTGACAGGTCCGTGCTCGTCTGCGTTGCCGAGTTTATTGAAAGCCCGAGACCCCTTAAGAACACTCCTCACATTTTCATCAAGATCCTCATATGAAGTTAAGCAAAAGGCGCAAGACCCCTAACGTGTAGATTAGGGTTGCAAAAAGAGGCCCCCAGAAGTAGCTCAAACGCGCAGCCAGTCCCGTCAAACCCCCACGGCAAGAAAGCCCCAACCCCTTCGGCTACATTGAAGACGCACGGAATATGCTCCATACGGACCTTTACGAATCCCAAGCCAGGCCTTCAGTCTTCGGAAACCTGTGAGCCACTTGAAAGAATCGAAGATCAAGCTTTTGGGGATTTGGGGGCTCCTTTGAGGGGAGGCCCTCAACACTAAAGCCATAAACCCTAATGCCACAAACCCTAAAGCCTCTAAGCCCTAAACCCGAAAGCCTCTAAACCTAAACCCTAAACCCTAAACCCTAAACCCTAAACCCTAAACCCTAAACCCTAAAGCCTAAACTCTAAAACCCTAAACCCCTTATCAGCCCAGCCCGGACTGTCGCTCAAGGCCTGGTCGGCCTTCAGGGCATCTTGCCCTCATTGGCTAAAACGAGGGTTTCAGGCTGTTTAGGGTTCTTAGGGTTCTTAGGGTTTAACTCTCTTTTTTTATTATCGGTTTTCTAGGGTTTAAGGTTTCTAGTGCTTCTCGGGTTGTCGGTGCTGTTAGGGCTTTGCTGTGGTTGCAGCTCTCAGGGCTTCAGGGTTCTTGGGGGGGGGGCTGCTTGCTGCCGTCTTCGGCTTTCACGGCTTTAGAGTGTGCAGTAGCGTCGGGGCTTTCGTAAGGCTTCTTCGCCTGAGTCTTTGGAAGAAGTTGCCTAAGGAACCGACCACCAGGTGCGAAACAGGGCACTCTGCTATCCCAAATCCAAGCACCCCGGAAGCCTAAACCCTAAGCACTAAATCCTGAACATCTGCAAGCTCCACCGGGTGCTAAGCAAGCGTTTAGGGTGTAGTGTCAGGTTTGGGACGTTTGGGGTTTGGGGCTCCGTCAAGGATTTCGACATGTTGCCCCGGATTCCGACGCTGCAAGTTGAAGGGTCTGGTTGTTCACACTATGCCACTTGAATATCTCCGTGTATTGGGCAGATCTCCTGAGAGCCCGACCAAGCTTGGCGAGCGACTGGAGCGTCCTTGCATCCAGCCCTCAACCCTGAATGCAAGACCCCAAACCCTCAAGTGTCATGAAAGGGAGACGAGCTGGAACGGCCAAGTGTGCGGGCGAGCCTCCACTGGAGGTACAAAACATTAAGACCCAAAAGATAGAACCGAGAAGCCTCAAGCGAGCCTCTCCGAGCCTGGCCGCCCAACCCTGCAGTTTCTGCGGCCTAGCTGCGGCACGCCAACACCGATTGCACGATGCAGCCTTGCATAGCGCTGAGTTCGAGAGGGGGGAGGGAGGGAGGGCTTAGGATATCGAGGCTCAGGACGGTGTTGATTCCGCTCTCAAGGGGCAGCACTGCGGTAGAACGCTGGGAGGAGTGGGGGCTCCGAAAACCATTCGACATCACTTCCCACGCCTGCCTGCGACTTTCTCTCTCTGTTAAGACATTTTAGGAGCAGGAGACTTCCCTGAACACCTTTGCTCGATAAGACGAAGAAGCTCCCCAGCCGCTCCCAGCAGCTCCATGGCATCTCCATGGCTCAGGCCGCCTGCCTTCGCAGGGAAGAGGCATCTCAGGCCACGACGCTGTGGCAGCTCCCTCGAAATCCGTCTTCAAGGGGACCCCCCCTGCTCTAAAAGCAACCCCCCTAATGGGCCAACGCCCTCAACCCTAAACTTCCCCGAAGCTCTTCCTTTCCTTTGGGGGCCCTGCTAGGAGGCCTCGATCCGCGCCTGCAGTGCCACCCGGAGCCTTACATGTCAGCGAGGGGCTTTAAAGAAGTCTACGCGGGAGGGCTTCTTAAGCTTGCCGCAAAGAAGTATCATACGTGCCATGTAACAAGTACATACACAGGTCAGGATTACTGCTGCTGCTACTGCTGTGACCATGTACCGCTACTCTTGCTCCTTCTATGATTCTGTTTTTAGCAGAGAG